GATAATGGATTTGGAAACAAAAAATTTTACTTCAAAGGACTTATCTATTTATTCCCTATTACCTACCGTTTTTACCTAAATTTGAAAAATTACTGCAGTTTATCAAAGACCTTCCGAAGAAATCATAATTATTATTAAATCTGAAAAATTCACAATCAGTTAATTAAGCGATCAAAGGTTTCCGAAATAATTGCTACTCAATTCAACAATAGGAAAATAATAGGTGCAGTAAATTCGTATACTGGAAAAACTATTTATTTTTTCGAAGATAATTACTACATAAAAATAAATGAATGTAACTTTAGTGTGGAAAAGTTTGTATACTAAGGACTTTATTGGAATACCTTCATCTATGGATAGTGTTTTTAGATACATTAATGGGATGCTATACTTTTTCCAAAAGCTTATTATTGGTTACTTAGATAAAAGGTAGATTCCAGTCGTACTCCAAACCATGAACTGCACATTTGCTGAGAGAATTCAAAATCATTTAGTAAATCTCTCTAAATTGAAAAAAGACTTGGACTTTTACCAACAGTTACTGTTCAAAAATTTTGAAAATTTAAAAATGGATTCGAAATGGGATGGAGTATTCTCATCAACTTCCAGATTTGCAAATGGACCAGCAACATGCAATCGGAAAATTATTCCAAAACCAGTTTTTGAAAAATATAATATTGGAGACATTGTACAAATTAATTATAATCCTGAGAGAAAAACGTACATTGTCTTATATCACAAAAATGACACTTCAATTCAATTTACCTACAACGAATTTGAAGAATTTTTACAGTTTCTCGATAATATAAACGATGGATGGGATGATACAAACTTCTATATTGGCGAATTCATTTACGTTAGCTATTGGAATGAGGAAGAAAGTAAAGGCTTGACTATGATGGATAAGCGAACAATGAAAAACATTTATTGGAATGAAAATCATCTTGATTTAATTTTAAAGCATAAATATCGGGTCTTCAAAAAAAAAAACAATCGAAGATTGCTTTGATTACGAAAACGTACTTCGCATTACTGTTTCTTTATTGGTAAGGATTTTTGACATGACATTTTGACATTAAAGTTCATTAACAAAATTAAAGGCAAATATTGCTAAGACATACGTTTAAAAAACCATAGGAATCTTTGATTGGTTTTTTTTTTGAAGACCCGATATAACTTGTATGATATTTGAATAACAACAATAATTATTTTCGCCAGGAAATGCGGTTTTTGTTAATGAGATAACGGGATTTCGGATAAATTAAGCAAGTTCGCAAAACTTTTTATCAGCGGCAAAAATTATAATTATTTAAAAATAATATTTGGGGCTGGCCGAAAAATGGGGCCCTATGATTTGGGACTCGGCGGCGGCGGCGGCGGCGTGAAAAAAAAATTCGAATGATGATGTCGTATTGAAATAATTTGTAGGTAACAAGACATGAATTATTGTATGATCGTGGCCAGATTTTAGTTTAGTAAAATGGGGACTCCCGAAAAATGGGGGTACGATGTATCTTGTTACAAGTCACGAGTTATGGGGAACCAAATTTCAGGTTTCGCGTTCTAGGCACGTGGTACAAATTTCAGGTTACCAGCATGAGATACGGGGTATCAAATTTCAGGTTACGAGTTCTAGGTACGTGGTAAAAGTTTCAGGTTACCAACATGAGATACGGGGTATCAAATTTCAGGTAATAAGTTCTAGGTTACGTGCGCCTCAAAATTTGGGGCCAGTATTCGTTTCATAAACGGATAATGGGGCCGCGGGTCTAGCAGCGGAGACAAGTGGCCCCTTTCCGATTTTTCCCTAGATTTAGGGCCATTTTATTGGCAACGTCGCACATTATTAGTTTCGACAACGTCGCACGTACCTGTCATCTTGTATGGGGTATCTCATTTCAAGTTATGAGCTCATGTAAATGGGGCCCCCGAAAAATGGGACCACGGGTCTAGCAGCGGGAACATGCATGTGGCTCCTTTGCTGACGCCACTTGGGTTAGGCCTCTTCTAATTGGGGCTTGCAAAAAATGGGGCCCACGAAAAAAATGGGGCTCCGAAATGGGGTACAGGCTCCTTCAATTTGGGGCCTCTCTGATGACGGGGGCCCCAGAACGAGTGTGACGTCAACTCCGCTGTGGAATCCTCCTTGTATATCTACTGATTGTTTTCTTTGGCACTCGAGCTTTATAGATTGAAGGATGCGTAAGTGGCCTTTCACATCACCAGGTTTAAATCTTTCAATCTGGAATAGCTTATAGGCATCTATTTCTTCCTCTTCTTTAACATATAGGTGAAGAGGACGCCTTGTCAGCAGTGCCTCCAAGGCTGCGGGGCAGGTTAACTGTTCTGGACCACCATACCAACAAGGTGACAATGGGTCTGACAACCCTTTGGTAAATCCAATGTACCATTTTTGGTCTTATCCTCCATGTTTTTTGCACGATTTTGCGGAATGTCTAAACGGCCGCCGTAGCTCGTGATATTGTTTTGTTCAGATGGTCGTTCCAAGTAAGTTTGGGGTCCAGGGTGATCCCTAAATACTAAACTTCATCCGAGAGTGATAACTGAGTGCCGTTTAAAGTGGGGGCTCGCAGATCCAGATTCTTTCTTTCCGTGAACGGAACTAAGGTTGTTTTGCTGGGATTTGTGTAAAGTCCTTGTTTGTCGCTCCCGTTTTTTATTATATTCATGGCACTTTGAGTCGGCCTGTCATCATGCCTTCGTGCTTGCCTCTGATTATTATCGCCAGATCATCTGCGTAGCTTGGAATAGTTATTCCAGTGTTGCTCAGTCTCGTAACAGTAGTGTCCACAGGAGAGGCGAAAGCACACCACCCTTTCGGCAGCCTTTAATCGTGATGACAGTAACTGTTTCGCTGTTCAAATCAGCCGATGCTGGGCGATGTTTCAGCATGACTTCTGTTCATCCTATAATGGGAGCTTCTACCCCCCTATCCTCAAGAATTTTTTTGATAGATCGGTGTGAGGTGTTATCGTAGGCACCCTCTTCTATATCTATAAAAGCTGCAAGAGCTTTTTATTTTGCAAGTATGCCTTTTCTATGTCTGTTACTAGACTCGACTACTAAATTTGATATAGGTTTGAAAATTATCCCTCAAAAGGTGGCTCTTCTATAAAATACTAGCTGACCCGGCGAACTTCGTACCGCCTCTGAATTATTAAATATACCTATTAAATGTTGTGTTAACGTATCTATTAGCTGAATTAAATTTAGTTTTTTTCGATGGTGAATTTGGCTTTGGTTGAAGAAAATTAATGTTTAGGTACTCTCTGGATCAGAAGTCACCTAAAATTAAAATTTTACATCATCCTTTTTTAGGCAGCTTTTGTGCGTTATTCTTGTAAAGTGTACCACCAAATAAATAAACTCAGGCACAGGAATGTTCAAAGGATGTGAAGAAAACAAAAAAAATCTATCTCTAGCGCAGCCCTGTTTCCCTCTATCTGCACTGCACTAGTTTATGTGTTCTACTCTATCTGATCTACTCTTTTTGCACCACTCTATCTGATCGGAATAGTGGAATAGTTCTGTTCGAAATAGCTCCAGTTCCTGAGCAGCATTGTTCTACTGTATCTGCAATGCCGAGGTTCGTTCCAGGTATCGGAGATGGCGCGGTATACAAAATACAAAATAAACTTGGTATCGGTTATAAGAGATGGCGCCGTATGCGGGCTTATTAAATTTTTTTCATAAATAAATAAAATAAGTAATGAAATGACCACATTAATGACATAACAACATGCTGGTACTGTCAACGCTGAAAAAAAGTTTCAATTTGACAGAAAAATCCCCATTAACAAAATGATCCTCCATTTATCTATTACAAAAAATGTGATAAATGAAGAACCGCTCGACCGATTCTGTGCAAACTTCACATTAACCATCTAATAAATAGTCCGAACAAAGCCTAAACATTTGGTTTGGCTAGGTGAGCCCGTTCTTGAGTTATAAAATTACAACCTCGATTACAACGAGAAGTGGCATTCATTTTTATATATATAGATTGGTCAATCGATGATTTCAGACTTTGTGAGAATGCCTACAACAAGAAAATTAAAATTAATTATTAACTAAGAAAAAGCCCAGTGGCAAATTGTCAATATACGGCATCCAGTTTTTTTTTACTGGAGTTGGTGAAAACTTTTAGAGCCAAACTAATTTATTGTCGTTTCTTGAGGCTTTCTTACACCTTAAAAGGCGTCCTTGGAATAAAATTGCGTTTTATAGTCGGTTAAGGAAGTCTCAAGGATCACTTAATTCCACTGATTAAATTTAAATTTTGTATATTTCCGGGGTGTGTTTTAAGATTTTTCAATAAAGTTCCAAGAAGCACCACCTAGCAATCAAATTCCTACGAAATTTAACCAATCCGGATAGATTATTATCTGAAATTGAAAGAAGAATTGCGAGGGCTCAATCTTAAGTCAAGTTTTCAGCGATGGTGTTCATAAAAAAAAAAATATTTCCTCAGATATTTTAAAAAAAAACGAGCGTGGGTATATTCCCGGCTTTACGTTTAAATAATAAATAAATATTGGTAAACGTGACATAAAAAATGGGATTTTTTTTACAACAGGCCCAAAAGCAATCTACTTCTACCATCTTGTAGCAAGAAAGTTCCAGAGTGAAATATTTTACACTTAGCTAAATTTCTACTGAAGCAACATTTAGGATCTTTTTGTTGGGATGTGTGTCATGAATAAAAAAACCTTTAGAAATATATTATAAACTTATCGGTTTTATTGAAGTAACTAAAATCGACAGCAACTCACCAATTGAATTATTTTTTTTTTATTTCATAGGCACTGCCAATCTTTTATGTTATATTATAAATTTCTTTGTGTTTCACTCAAATACTCCAAACAATAATTGTTCTATTTTGGACAGCAATTTAATTTTATACCTATAACCATTTGAAATTCCAGCAGCTACTGTTTAAGCACCAAAATAATAACGTCGGATTATTTTTATTGTTTCAGGATAGTTGGAAACAACAAAACGATAACTACGACTGTGTGAAGTGGTGAATTGGGCTCGTCTGTGGAATGGGACGATGTAAATACGTGTAAATACATACAAACTAAAATAAATTTCATGTGATGTTGATCAATTACTGCATTTTGGATAGATGTGTAATAATAATGTTTTACCTAAGTTACATAAATGGAAATATATATTTTCTTCTAATAGGTTTAATTTTAGTTTTATTTCCAACAATTTTTCACTGAAAATGAAAATCTAATTTTTTTTCCCTCTTTGTAACCACACTGACAAAATAACAGTTTGACATATCGATCGCATCAATTCGATTCTGATCATTGTAAAAGCATTTCGGTTTTTGCATTCTCTCTGGACCGTTTTCGACAAATCCGTTTTTTTTTTCCTTTCCAAGACTTCGGTTAGAGATTTACAGTTTTGTTGTAAATGAGATTGAACAGCAAAAAGATTCCACGTTGTTAAACCACGTCATTTGTTAATATTCTTATGTAAATTCAAAAAATACAAGATGTTGGAAAATCGATACCTACACTTTTATGTGAAAACATAATTTGATTAGACGATTATGATACAATTTTCGTTATCTTCAGTTTTAATGGAATCAAATGTATTGGAGATGGAGATAACGGTAAGTGTTCTGTTCTACACTGACTACACTGCAATTTTTCTATTTATATTGTTGTAATCAACCAATCAATTTCATCTCCTGTGAATTCTTTTGATATAAAATTATAATTGATTTACTTATAATTGAAAAAAAAAAATCATGTTTTGTATCACTCTCTGTGTTTACATTTTGCAACAACTTTATTTCTAAGAACAGCGACTCAACACGAAAACCCTTTGATCTTGTTTCCGGGAGACGGGAATCTTAGTCAAAAACAGTATGGAGAATACAGTCAGTAAATTTAGGAATCCGAGTGCTCTTTGGTTGATTCGGTCGGAAACCGCCAATTAGAGAAACGTAATTAGATAATTTTGTTTCATTATAAACTCGGTAATTATAAATGGCTTCATTGGTAACAAACTTAATTTTTTATCGGGCTCTTCATGAGAAACTTTCATGCCGATGACCTTATTTTTGTAATGTTCTAGGGATATTGAAACTCAATTAATTTCAAATTAGATTGAAGATTGATCAATCAAGTTGATCGAGCATTCTTTTTCCTATAGGTACATACTTACTTATTTATTACATTCGATCGAGAATCGAAAAATACACCACCAATCATATTGCCGCATAGCAATTTTCTGCTTATTAGTTCCAGTAATGTAATCTATTTCCTTTAGATTATATACGCAGTGTTATAAGTATGCAGGTATATCTAGTTTCCTTGCTAGTATTACCTGATTGTGAAGTTTGAACAAATGCCTTAGCAATTGTCAACAAGGACAGTTTTTGATAATTTATTAATAAAAGAGGCACAAAAGATTCCTCTAACTTGCATATGTGTTTTAATATAAAACCCAACTATAACATGGTGTCAGGTGTAGATGCAAGTTTTTAATAGGAATAAAAGTGCAATTAGTAAGAAGAGTGCCCTAGATTAGCACATAAGTATGCAAAACAGGAACCAGAGTGCCCTAGATTAGCACAGAAGCGCAGAAAGTACCTATAGTAAGTACAGCTAAGAAGAGTGGCCTAGAATAGCACAGAAATAGTATTATTAATCCAAGTATTGATTAATTTAAAAAAAAAAACATATTATTATAAAAATTACACCTATCAAGTACCAGTTGTAGTCAAAAAAATTACACCTATCAAAGTACCAGCTAATCATTGAAGTGTCTAGTCGAGTGTCAATAAAATGGAAAAGGATAACGCACACCTAACATGGGATTTTTGGGCTCTATGGATTTTGCCCATTTTTTGATATGTTGTAGAGGATTTAATTCTGAACAACCTTTAAATGGAACGAAATCTTGTAGGTATTACGGTCTTAGAGATATGAGCGTTGAAAGATGAACTTTTTTGCGACTTTTTGTATGGAGAGTGTACGAGATAGTGGTACTACTGGTGTTTATCAGTCAAATATTGACAGGTTCACATATTTTACGTCACTAACAAATTAATATCAACATAGGTTAAGGCCGGGACCGCACTGGGATCAATGTTGGCGCCAGTGCAGTCCCGGTCGTAGCCTATGTTGACGTTTGTTAGTGACGTGAAATATGTCGACCTGTCAATATTTTGACTGATAAACTCCAGTTTCTCGTATACTCTCCACACAAAAAGTCGCAAAAAAGTTCATCTTTCAACGCTCATATCTCTAAGACCGTAATACCTACAAGATTTCGTCCCATTTAAAGGTTGTTAAGAATTAAATTCTCTCCAACATATCAAAAAATGGGCAAAATCCATAGAGCCCAAAAATCCCATATTAGGTGTGCGTTATCCTTTTAAACCGCCAGGACCTTTTTCAGACTATGATGCAAAGAATTGGAGCCTTTATAAGCAAAAGTTTGATCTTTATTTGAAGGCTACTGGGAAACAAAAAGAAACTGAAGAAATAAAAATAGCAATTTTGTTAAGTTGCTTAGGAGATCAAGGTGTTTATAATACATTTGAAGTTGATAAACGAAGTACTTTACAAGATTTGCTCAAAGCATTCGATAGTTATTTTTTGCCAAAGACAGTAATACCGTTGGAAACATTTAAATTTAATAATTTGCATCAACAAGATGGCCAAACTATAGAACATTTTCTCACTGAATTACGTAAGCAAGCCAAAGTGTGCAATTTCAAGTGTGAAAAGCAAGGTTGCGCTGAAAGCTATGAAGAAAGAATGGTACGAGATAGATTGGTAGTTGGACTGGCTGATAAACAGCTCCAAGCTAGATTAATACGAGAAAAGAATCTCACAGTGGAATCAGTCTTGGATTATTGCAAAGCTGTTGCTTTAAGCAAAGAACATCTCAAAACTCTAAATCCTGAAGAAGCTGATGTTAATGTATTGAACAAATCTAATCAAAAAGTCAAGTGCAATAGGTGCTTATATAAACATTATCCTAATATGTGTCCAGCATATAGAAAAACTTGTTCTTTATGCCAACGCCAAGGTCATTTCGCCAAAGCCTGTTTCAAAAACAAATCTGAAGATCCAAATAATATGTGTGAAATTCCAGAGAAAAAAGAAGATAAGAAAATTCCAAATCAGAAGTATGGAATGAGAAAACAAGTAAGAGAAGTTTACAAACCTGATGATGGAACTAGCTCGAGTGATAATGACGCTTTTTTTTTATGTGGATACATGTGAAACGCACCCGAAAAAAGATTCATGGTCCGAAAAGTTTTTAATTGAGAATAAAGAGATAATTTTTAAACTTGATACCGGTTCTGATTGTAGCATTTTACCTTTAAACGTATATTTGAAAATTCCAAATTCTAAACCATTAAATAATTGTGTAATAACATTAATATCCTATGGAAATTTCAAGTTAAAACCAGAAGGTGAAGTCGTTTTAAAATGTTGTTACAAAAATTTGACTTACAATATCAAGTTTATTGTAGTGAATTATAATACTCAACCTTTGTTTGGACTTAAAGATTGTCTAAAGTTTGGACTTCTTGGAAGAGTTAATACCGTTGAAATATTACCAAGAGATAGAAAACAAATTTATGAGTTATATAAACATGTTTTTAAAGGCACTGGCGCAATACCTGGCCTTTGTTCAATTAAATTATCTAGTGATGCTAAACCAGTGATTCAATCTCAAAGAAAAATACCGCTTTCTATACACGAAAAACTGAAGGAAACTCTAGACAATCTTGAAGAAAAAAGAATAATTAATAAAGTAGATTATCCTACAGAATGGGTAAATAGCCTTATGATTGTTGAAAAACCTAATAAAACCTTGAGATTATGTATTGATCCAAGGCCATTAAATAAATTTATTTGCAGGGAACATTTTCAAATACCAACAACTAATAATATTCTTTGTAGATTGACAGGAAAAACCGTTTTTAGCGTCATTGATATGAAAGATGGATTTTGGCAATTACAACTAGACGATAAAAGTGCAGACTTATGTGTTTTCAACACACCATTTGGTAGATATCGTTTTAATAGAGTCCCCTTTGGAATTTGTAGTGCCCCAGAAATTTTTCAAAAGAAAAATATTGAAATTTTTGGAGATATTCCAGGCGTTGAAATTTATTTTGACGATATAATTATTTCTGGAATAGATGAAATAAGTCATGATAATGCTTTGAGGGAAGTTTTAAAGAGAGCTTCTAAAAATAATGTAAAATTCAATTATAAAAAATTTCATATAAATTAGATAAAGTCATATTTTTGGGTCAAGAAATTTCAAAAGAAGGTGTAAAACTAGACAAAAATAATATAAAAGCCATTGAGGCAATAGAGTCCCCTAAGAATAAATCTGGTCTTGAGGATTTTGGGTTTATTGAAATTTTTTGCAAGATTCATTCCGAATCTCTCCCAACTAACAACTAATTTACGAAATCTTACTAAAAAGAATATTTCTTTTGAATGGACCGAAAAGCATGAAAAGCTGAATTATTGATCTTGAAATCCATTGTCTCAAAAGAAACAGTCTTAAAAATTTTTGATCCTTCTCTTCCAATATTGATTCAATGTGATCGAGTGAAGCTTTTGGTTGTTGAAAATGGACATCCTATAATTTATGCTCCTCGTAGTCTAACCAAATCTGAGAAGAGATGGGCTCAAATTGAGAAAGAAATGGGTGCAATTGTTTTTGCTACCGAAAAACTTCATTATTTTATTTATGGATTCAAAATTGAAATTCAAACAGATCATAAACCCCTTATTTCCATTTTCGACAAACATTTAGACAAAGTGTCAGCCAGACTTCAAAGAATGCTTTTAAAACTTTTAAAATATAATATTAAACTCATTAATATACCTGGCAAGGATATGGTCATTGCAGATACTTTGTCTAGATCCTATATTAAAGATGATATTCAGATGACCCTGACATGGCATGTTATTACGTGGCAAGACGGACACTGCCACTTCGTTACCCGCAAAACCGAGTGAAAGGTAAATAATAAACTTGAAGGAAGTGAGACAGAGAAGGGGTAACTAAAACAGAAAGAATAGAAAGAAAAGGTTGGTTGGTGGTTGAAATCTGGAAACGTGATTTCGTGTAAAAGGTTGCCGACTAGCTTCCAATGCGGTGAGGGGGTGGGTTAATTAAATAACTAAATATAGAGC